CGCCCCCTCCTCCACTCAGCCGATAGTGAGTCATTTCCTACGCAGAACTAGCTACATGATTGTCTTCTTCCTTCTCCATTTTCCTATATAAGGAGGAAAAACCAGCTTCCATTTCTGCACCAAAACTTAGTAAGTTTAGTATCATTCATTTCCTTGTTTAGTGGAGAGTTCATTGGTGTTGTCAATTTGTTGTTAAAATTACAAATTAATGACTCTAAAATGATCTGTGAACATTGGAGAACATTTTTATATAATTAAATTGAAGTTTGGTGATTAAAAATGATAATGTTAAAACTGACCCGAGGAAGAAGATGATGAACAGTGGCCGAAAATCGATTATTTACTTACTAAAAATTGATTAGAATTTTATTCAGATTAGTGTTTCGAAGTAAGTACCATTTATTCGATTATTTATGTTGTAAAAATCGATTATTATGAATTAATTGATTATTTAAATTGTAAAAATCGATTATTATGAATTAATTGATTATTTAAATTGTAAAAATCGATTATTATGAATTAATTGATTATTTAAATTGTAAAAATCGATTATTGTGAATTAATGGATTATTTAAATTGTAAAAATCGATTTTTTATGAATTAATCGATTATTTATATTGTAAAAATCGATTAAAATTAATTAATTGATTATTTAAATTGTAAAAATCGATTATTATGAATTAATTGATTATTTAAATTGTAAAAATCGATTATTATGAATTAATGGATTATTTAAATTGTAAAAATGGATTTTTTATGAATTAATCGATTATTTATATTGTAAAAATCGATTAAAATTAATTAATTGATTATTTAAATTGTAAAAATCGATTATAATCAATTAATTGATTATTTAAATTGTAAAAATCAATTATTATGAATTAATGGATTATTTAAAATTATATAAATCAGTTTTTATAAATTAAATGATTATTTTAAATTATTTTCCTCAATTCCAGATCCTGCTACGAATATATTCCTGAAAATATGCTCTAAAATCCTATTTTTGATAACAATTAATTATGAACAATACAAATATGATTTTGTATAATAAAAATGATGTTTTAGGCATATAAAACATTATGTGATGCATGACGGTAAGTTAGAGTGTTAACACTCAAAACTAGACCGCTATTTGTTATCAATTGTTATGTTGATTAATGATTATGATGAATGATTATTATGGATGATCATGAATGATGAACTAACTGATCAAAATGATTATTGATGATTCAGCCATGAGAGTAATGAATATATTGATAATTATTAAACGATTTGTATTGTTAAACGGTATCGAGAAGAACTCTAAGATATACCTATTAGTTAATTGATGTTAAGGCTATCTAGAAGACCTCTAGAATAGATCTTGTATTAGAACAGGCTTATGAAGACATGAACATTTGATGAATTAGATAAAAACGCATAAATGGGATTCATAGACCAAACTAGAGGATCACTCGTTTGGGAATGCCCGATCTAATGTTGATAAATCGCTATATTGTTGTTGCCTTAACTGACTACAGTTAAGTGTCCGAATCATTTGCCTGAAACTAGTGACAGTTTAAGTGTCTGATTGCCTTAACTGACTGCAGTTAAGTGTCCAAAATCAATTGCCTTAAACTAATGATAGTTTAAGTGTCTGATTAATAATTGCCTTAAAGGAATCTGGTTATGGAAATTATGATTTGGCCTTAGACTAATAATAGCTAAGAGCATTGTTATAATCTGGCCTTAGATTAAGAATAATTTAAGAGCACTATTGAAATAGTATCTGAATTGAATAAAATGTATTGATATGAACTGAACAATACCAAAACTGTGAATGTCTGAAATGAGCATTGTGTGCATGATATCAAATGCTTTGATTGTGAATTTAGATTCAGTTTATATGGATGTTCGACGCATTAGATATGCTTACTCAGCTTTACTGCTGAGCGTGTAGTGTGTTTTATTTGCTACACGCAGGTAAGCAGAAAGCAGAATGTGATCCTGGCGGCATATGGGGCGAGATTGTCGGGATGGATGTGACAAGTTTTGAAACAATTTATGATATGTCAATATTAAAATCGCTTCCGCAATATTGTTGAATACTCCGTATTGTATATGTATTGAAAAATATTATTGGGATTAATAAAGTGTGTTTGAAAAGTTTTAAATTTTTACGATTACCAAGTTAAATACTTTAGTCCGAATGGGGTTGCAGACCTGGACGGATTAGGGTGTTACAAGGCACATCAACCAAGGTCCAGACTTGGTTTGTGTACATAGACTCCATTTCAGATTTTATGGCTTCGAGCCATAGATCGGATTCGGGGCATGTAATTGCCTCGAGATAGGTCTCTGGTTCGCCTTGATCTACCAGCAAGACATCACCTTCATCAGACATGAGAAATCCATATCTGACCGGAGGATTACGTGTCCGGTCTGACCTACGTGGTATATCTTGAGCAGTTTGAAGTTAAATTGCTTGATCTCTTTGCTCAGGTTCCAACACTATCGGGACTTCTTCTGGTGGTTCTCGAATTTCTTCGAGGTCTACCTTTCTCCCACTAGTGATAGCAGAAAGAAACTCCTTCTCAAGGAAGGTTCCATTCTGAGCAACCAAAATTTTGTTATCGGATGGATGATAGAACTCATACCCTCTAGTTTCCTTGGGGTATCCCACAAAAATTACTTTATCAGATTTAGGCTCCAACTTACTAGACGTCATGAGACGTTTTACATAATCTTCACAACCCCAAATCTTAGAGTACGATAAACTCGGGTTTTTCCCACGCCATAGTTCGTATGGTGTGCTCTCGACAGCTTTAGATGGAACTCTATTGAGTGTGTGTGCTGCTGTTTTCAATACATATCCCCAAAACGATTCTGGCAATGTTGTCAGACTAATCATGCTCCGGACCATGTCTAGCAAAGTCTGATTTCTCCTCTCAAACACTCCATTTAACTGAGGTGTCCCCGGAGGAGTGAGTTGGGATAAGATCCCATGATCTTCTAGATAGTCATCGAACTCCAGGCTTAAGTATTCACCTCCTCGATCCGAGCGGAGGGTCTTAATACTTTTGCCCAATTATTTTTCTACTTTGTTCTTGAATTCTTTGAATTTGTCAAAGCATTTCGATTTGTATTTCATGAGATACACATATCCATATCTACTAAGGTCGTCAGTAAATGTAACGAAGTATGAATAACCACCTCTAGCTACAGTGCTAATTGGACCACAGACATCGGAGTGTATGAGGCCCAATAAGTCACTCGCCCTTTCACTGTGACCGGTGAATGGAGCCTTTGTCATTTTACCAAGTAAACAAGATTTACATACATCATATGACTGGAAGTCAAATGAATCAAGTACACTGGAACAATGTAACTTAGATATGTGTTTCTCGTTAATGTGGCCCAAACGACAATGCCAAAGGTACGCGAGATTCAAACTATTAGGTTTGTTTCTCTTAACATCTACGTTATATACTGCGGTATCCATGTCGAGGACATAGAGACCGTTGGTCATTTTTGCAGTTGCATAAAATATTTCATTTCTAAAGACAGAAAGAGTTTTGTCTTTTACAACGAATGAAAATCTTGCTTTGTCAAGGCAGGATACAGAAATGATGTTTCTGCTCATACTAGGTACAAACAGACAATTATTTAACTGCAATACAAGACCACTAGGTAGAGATAAACTATAGGTTCCGACGGCTAATTCATTTACGAGTGCGCCATTTCCGACTTTTAGTTGTATCTCTCCCTCCGTCAATTGTCTACATTCATGCAGATCCTGCATAGAAGTACAGATGTGAGAACCACATCTAGTATCCATCACCCAAGAGGTGATATCAGACATATTGACTTCAATAAAGAAGATAGCTGAGGTTTGAGGTTTCTTTGCCTCTTTCCTCTCCGCTGACTTTGTCATCCTGGAAGAGGAGGATGATGCTGCCAGTATCAGTGTTGGCCCAAAGGCCCTTGATGAGGTCTGGGTTGGGGCATGGAGGGTAGCTGCTGGCCATGGTGCGAAAGTAAGGACCCTTTGACCCATAGAAGGCCTTCTTTAGGTACCCTTTCTCAAGCCCTTGAGGGCACTGAGAGAGAGTTATATTTTTAGATAGATAGCGGCAGGCACAACGTTCATACTCTACAGCATTCTGATTAATTGATATTTTTTTTACAATATACTATAGGATTAATTTAAATAGTTTATTTTAAGTTTGTAGATGCCAAGCAAAGATACTTGCCCAAAAAAACCAAGTCAAGGTGGTTCTTTCTAAAAGATAGCTGCTCAAAAGACAAGGAATTTTAAGTGGTGAGGTGTTGCTGATGTACCTCTAATTTTGTTGTTATTCTAAATTCTCTATTAATTAATGATGATAGAAGTTGAGAACATATTTGTTTATTTTGGTTGGTTTTAATTTGTGTTAGATGATGTGTTGAAACAAAGTGTGACGATAGAGTGATTTGTGCATTCCATTTATGCATATATATGGTTGATATGGGGATTTTTACGAACTGCTACAGATGACAATTGGAGTATTTGATATGGAGATTGTTACGAACTGCTGCAGATGAATTTTGGAACTGCATGGCCTGCGGTTCTCTACTGATGAATTTGGAAGAACAATTGCTTTTTAGAAATTGGCTACATTCTGTTTTTTTAGTAGCTTTCTTTTTGGTTTTTCTCAGAATTCCATTGACTCTGTTGAAGATCTTTGATTTTGCAATCCTTGCTTTTACAGAGAACTTTTGATTGGTTCTTTGCAATAGTTTTGCTTATTAGCCTTTATTTGGATCATTACTTTGGTGGATTGACTTATTAGTAATTTTTTTCAAGGGTGTAAAATATACTTTAATTTTCTTATTGTCATTGTTTATTGTGATATAGTGCATGTTTATATTAATTAATAATCATTATAATGTATGGAAAAAACAAAAATCACCCGCCAATATTAGTTGAAAAAATTTTAAAGTTAGTTGCTTGGTTGTATTTCGCCGCACTTATAAGTGTAGATAAAAGCTATTTATTGTTTTCAAAGGAGTTTTTTCCCAGCATTTTTAAGTGTGGCGTGGTACCAACAGATATATGTGTGGCAAAATTAAACATTAACAACACTTTTAAGTGTGGCTAGAATGTTCATTACCCGCACTTATTAAAAGTGCGGCAAAAATTTCGCCGCACTGTAGATCGCAACACATACCTCATGTGTGGCAAAAAATATTCCCCACGCTTATATATGCGCCGAACAACAAAAATAAGTGTGGTTAAAGACCATATCTCTTGTAGTCATACTCAGCTGGTAATGATCCCAAGATGAGATCAGTTGCCAGCATAGGGTGCAACGGGGCGTCAAGTTTTTCAAGAGTTTCAATCTGGCCGATAATCTTGAGAACGTGGGGACCAACTGGGTTACCCGTTTCCAGCTTACTGGAAAACAGAGTCGTAGAGATTTTGAAACGCTCATGTCTAGCCTGGCCTTGGTATAGACCTTACAAGCGAGTCATCATAGGATGAGCTTCCATGTCCTTGTGGAGCCTTTGGAGCTCCGGGGTCATGGTGGCAAGCATGAGACATCTCACATCACGTGCGTCATCTTCATATTTCCGGTACGAAGTAATTTCTGCAGCACGGGCGTTTGCTTCAGGAGCTTTGGGAGGCTCAGATGTTAGGACGTAAAGCTTTTTCTCGCATCCGAGAAGAATCTTAAGATTCATCTCTCAATGAAGAAAGTTAGTTCCAGATAATTTTTCCTTTTCTAGAACATATCGCAGATTGAAAGGGTTGTTGTCGTTTGCCATCTACAAAAATTTTGCAAAATAGGTTATCTATCATGTTTAATAGTTAATTAGGCCTTTAATTAATTATCTCCCACTATTTTTAACAAATCAATAACCCTTGATATTGATTCGGAGATTTCCGGTGAAACCTCTAGTGGGCCAAGATCCATATTTCATTATCTTGCGTTCCGCTTGGGCGTTACTCCACAAGACAACTATTTAGGTAGGAACATAGTTCCAACTGATGAGCCGGGCTCTCAGCTCTTGGTCTGGTGTTGGGTGAACAATATTACTACAATCGGACCAGAACACCTTTTCACCATACTTGTAATTGGCTGAGGCACGTCTTACAAGCAGACTACTTTGGTTAGGAATAGAGTTCCAATTAAATCATTAAGATCCAACTCCTGGCTGGAGGAGTGAGTAAAATCATCCGACTTGTCATTGATGACCCCAACTTACTGCCTCTGAGTCGTCCATCCATTTGACCGAGACTCAGCTAAGTCTAACCCAACGTGCGACAACGACCACGCTATAGCGGTTCCCATAACCAGCTTAACATACACCGTACTATGCTCTGCTGAGGCTGAGTACATGACAGTGCACATTAGCCGGATAGGTGTCGGGCGTCAGAAGGCAACAGACTTAATATTCGTGAGGGATTTATAATTTCGATCTCACCTATCGACATGGTCGCGCACATGTCTATTACTAACGTTCAACATGCACTCACAAAACGCAGTAAATAAACGTGTAATGATTGTGGCCCCTAAAAGAAAAATAAAACGATAGCTCCCACAGGCTTCCAGGCACTTAAACTTCGGGCCATCTCCATTCTTTTAGATTTCTCCAAACGGTCATCAAATCTTTTTGTAACGCCCTACAACCCGGTCTATTAGAATTGATTATTTTAAATAATTAAATTACTGTTCCGGTCCAGAGTTGGGGAAAATAAAAAAAAAAGTTCTTAGAAAAATTATTTGAACACGTCATTAAATTTGTTTTGACTGTCTGATTCCAAAAACGTAAACGGTTTTCAATTTGGACCCATTCAGGGGAAAAAGCGCGTACCATTTAGGTCAGATTTTACACCACAGAGTAGAGTTTAGGGAGATAACTCCCCATTTAATTCCTTCAAGAAACTCACGCCACTACACCTTCCCTCACCATTCATTTTCCACATTTTAATTCACCATTAACACTCATTACTCCATCACCAATATATATCAACTCCCTCTTCATTTCCTTCACCTCCCTCACATTTTGGTAACTCCCACTCACATCATCTCCTTTCCTCCTTCCCTTTGTGCATTTTCGGCCAACCCACAACAGCTCAAGGAGGGATTCCGGGAGTAGGCGAGGAGGTGGAAGAGAAGGAAGTTCACGCGAGAAGCCAATCGTTCGTTCGTTCGTTGGTCCATTCGTTACCATCATCCGTTCATTTCGTTTCTGTTTCATCAACCCCATCATTTAGAGGTGAGTAGTTGTCTCCTCTAATTCTAGAACATCAAGTCATAATCTATGTTGTTATATTCATAGGAATATCGTACGCAACCTACGTAGAGACTATGCATGTTCATAGTTTAACCATCCAACATACGTGTGCCCATGTTATCAAGTTATGTTCTCGTTAATATAAATGTTTTGAAACCTTGTAAGTTATTCGATTATCTAGCATGGAAATATAAACATTCGTTTCTAAAACTTCCAACGTTTTGATGACAAACAAACAGATTTAATGAAAGTCAGCGTGCCTTGATAATCGAGTTACAAAATAGAACAATCGACTATCAGGCCACGCTGGACTCCTCAATTGATTCAGCACAGCGTGATAATCGATTATCACATATGTGATAATCGACTATCAGGCCCTGCGGATTCTTGGGTCTGAGTTGGCTTCACTGATAATGGATTATCACAGGCAATAATTGATTATCAGGGCTCTCTGAACTTAGGACTTCCCGAACAAACCAACTTGACAATCGATTTTCATAAGGTGACAGTCGACTATCACAGTCTGCAGGACTGTGGGGACAGAAGCTGCACAGCATGATAATCGATTATCAACAATAGACAATCGATTATCAGCCCTAAGGCCATCATGTTGAGCAAATTGTTTTCATACGGAATCAAACATATATGTATGCGTTGAATTTAATTTCATTCATCAATCAATGCATTCAATTCATCATGTTTTTCCTAGACGCATGTCCTAGGGTCATCATCATGTGCATACCGCTGTAGGGAGGTCAGGCTCTCGTGCGCCTACTATAGTGGGCCCGTCTAGAAACCTTTGGGATCCAACGGGTTTTCATCAGGTGGGCTTTGTGTACGTACATGGTAGTCAGGCTACGGCTACCACCCAGTTTTGCTAGTTCACTTGCGACGTTTTGTCGAGCCCGAGTCATTACCGGAGTGCAGGGGTGATCCTGTCAAGTGAGACTAAGTCAGGGGTGTCCCTAATAACTTAAGTCATGCATCAAGTCATATTGTCATCATGTATGTTTCATGTCACGTCAACATTCAATGTGGTTGTTATTCATTTTGTTATGTGTAACAATATTCCATCAAGTGCAAATTAATCAGTTAGCAAACACGTGGTTTTCCGTACGTTAAGTACAGGTATTTATATGTGTGTAACCATATGGGTTATCACTTTATGTTCTTTTGTTAGATTCACTCCTCAGCTTTTGCTGAGCGTGTAGTTGTTTTTGCTACACGCAGGTAGACATGACGGTACAGGTGCTAACCCTAGAGGACAGTGATGGTGGGAAGATGGGCGGCGCATGGACAAATTCAATAATTAAATACATTTAATTAATCATTTGGGCATGAACCCACCATATGTCGTTTTTTTTTATTTTGGACTTGTCAATTTACTTCCGCTTTTACTCTGCATTTAAATCACACATGTTTTGAAATTAATTCCCTAGCATTTATTTCACCAATTAAACTCAACCGTTTCCATAATAAATAGTCATTAATGCATTTTCCTCTACGGACGGTTCTCGGACCGCCCATGTAACCCTACCGGTCCGTTGAGTCGCGGTGAACCGGGTCCACGGAAGGCGGGTGTTACANTCGTTTTTTTTTATTTTGGACTTGTCAATTTACTTCCGCTTTTACTCTGCATTTAAATCACACATGTTTTGAAATTAATTCCCTAGCATTTATTTCACCAATTAAACTCAACCGTTTCCATAATAAATAGTCATTAATGCATTTTCCTCTACGGACGGTTCTCGGACCGCCCATGTAACCCTACCGGTCCGTTGAGTCGCGGTGAACCGGGTCCACGGAAGGCGGGTGTTACACTTTTCATCTTCTAACCACCACGTGAGAAAAGAATCCTCAGTCGAGGTAAGAGAGAGAAATAGATTTACAACAAGAGTTTAAAATATAAGACACGACACGCAGGCCGTATTATAATCAAATAAACTATAGCCACAATCATCCACCATGCATATCATATATCCACACAAGCAATAGAGAAAAACATACACCGGGTGAACCGCGCTCACCCCAAACAGTTCTAGAAAAATATAACGGGAGTAAATATTTTCTAAAACTCATATAATTAAATTAGATGTCCAAATAAATCTAATAAAATTTTATAAAATCATTTTATATAATCTGGATATTCGGCCAGCATAAAAACAAATTCCAGAATATTTCAAATGACCAAAATGCCCTTTTTGCAAAATTATATTCAAAAAGGCCATTAAAATTTTGAAACAATTTTGCAAAAATCATGAAAATTAAATTTCAACTTCCACTAATTATTTTCAACATTTATAAACCAGGAAATAAAATTTTCAAAGTTTATAAATCATTATTTCCAAAATATATTAGTTAAATCTCAATAAGTTATAAAAAGCCATTTAAATTGATTTCGAAAATATTAAATTTAAAAAATTTAATATTTTAGAAAAACATTCTTTTTCTTACTGAGATATAACTTTCCAAAATATATATTAGTCAATTATGTAATTAAAATACAAATATATAAATATATATAATATTTCGGTAATAAAACCGAGTACATATATAAATATATATTTATTTAATTACTAAATAATATTATTTTGTACAATATATTTATCAACAACCTTAATCAACTTAGAAATAATATTTCCAATTTTAATAAAGTTCATTTTGAATTTTCCCATATTTATTTTCGGTTTTCACCTAAATAAATACAATAAATTTAAAATAGGAAATAATACATTCAAAAATTACAATATAATTTTATCAATCATAAAATGATGTTTTATGTCCAAATAAAATTATATTTACTATTTCTACAATATATATAAATTTATATTCCGAAAAATCAAAATATATGTATTTATATATATATTACGGGTAGAAATAAAATAAATAAATTTAAAATTCATTTTCAATGATTTATTTAAGTCCAATACTTATTCCAAGACTAAATAAAATCATTTTACCATTTTTTGAATTTTAATCATTACCAAGTTAAAACTTTGACTTTTAAAATTTTAAAAGTCAAACGTAAAACTATAGTTTTGTACGTTGGCTCCGATACCACTGAAAGGTAACCATGCAAGGATAGACAGGGGAATATAAAACATTTTTAACATCCTAACATGATTATCTTTCCGAGATTCACGTACTAAAACATATAGTAGTAAGAAATTTATACCTTTCTCCGTAAGCGGTAAAAACGAAGAAGTCGTAGGAAGAGCGTTGAAAGTGCAAACGTAACCGTTCAAGCGTCCGGTCTCCAACTTTGACACACGAACAACGCCGGAGTCTACCACAATCTTTATGCCTGTAAAGATTATATTAGTATAAAATATAAAGATTAAAATTGGGATAATAATAATCTTGTATATTTCTTATAGAAAATATTTCTAATAATATTTAGAAAATATTATAGATATTTTCTATACACAAAATGATATAAATAGAACCAAACTAATATTTTTCTCTCACTAGAAAACCTATGGCCGAATATTATGATTACTCAAATTGATAATCTTCACACCCTTTTATCTCAATTGTGCCGTGGATAAAAAAGAACACAAAACAATACAAAGTGACTAATCAAACTTTTGTCATTAAGCTAAAGTTAAAATTTGAACTATTAATCAAAGACTAATTTAGATCCTTTAAATCCTTATGGCCGAACAAGATGATATAGGAAGGATTTTCAAAATTCTTCTCCACTTAAATGCTCAAAGTGTATTTTATTTGACATCAAAAATTAATGTAAAAATTAATTTTATATCAAATAAAAATACCAATATCATTTTAAACAAGTATACAAATATACTTTAAATAGTTTATGTCAAAATAATTATTTTCATAATTAAAATGACAAACCAAAATAAAATATTCAACATATAATATATTTATATATATATTTCGGTGTTATCATATATATATATATATATATATATATATATATATATATATATATATATATATATATATATATATATATATATAAAAACCATATATATAATATATATTATACTCCAAAATATTTTATTTTACTATTTTACAAATATACAAATTACTTATTATCCTATTGTTTAATCTTACTCCTTAAATTGTCCAAAGTGTGTGACCCGTATAGGCACTTATAAAGCTGGCCACAGTATTGGCTCTGCACCAATACTATAAGCAATAAGCGGTATCTACCAACACATTATTGCCCCCAGATTATAAGTTAAGACGTTTGCACCGTCAAAACCTTTCCACGACTCAGACTCCGTGTAACTGTATCCCTTTGTCTCAATGTCTAAACTTAATGCAAGGGATTAATAAAATCCAACTTGTATCCATTAACTCATTCACTAATTTATCAAGTCTGACTAATAGGAACAGACGTCATAAAAGCATCTCGGCATGGCCATGCAATTTCCTTAGTCATAACTTATTAGTGGGCCCCATAAGACATTAATCTCTTTAAAAAGAGTAGTGACAAATTCTATGTACGTAATCTACGTTTCTGAATACGCGCTGCCGCATACCCAAAATTAAGCCTGTATACCATCCTTATTTCATATGGCTTAGGACGATGCATCAAAGCATGCGGGTTCACATATGCAGAAAACGTAATACTTCAAGTCGAAGGATAGTTACACCTGTGGTCGCGCTAAAGATGCTTAGAGCATGAACTAAAAGTTCAAGCAACATCTTTAGGATGGGTCAGTCCGGCATCCTATTATCTCCAGATAATATCTGCCCATGTGCGGATGCGAACACACCGTCATTGACTATGAGACTAAGTCAAACATCCAACACACACTAGTCTCGCCCAGGTGATGCCTACCACACTGTACACACTGCGGGTGGCTCCTCGTTCGGATCGAGTTGCTAGCGGCGGCCGACGGAGACGGCCTCGACTTACTCCTCTTAGGCGGCGGCGCACTCGAAGAACCCTTCTCGTACCTCTTTCCCCCGGATCCAAAACTCTTTCCGCTCGGCCCGGTGCTGGCCGCGGGTCGCGGGTCTTTCGTCGCTCGATCCTCCTTCTTGGTTGCCTGCAAATCGTCCAAGCTCTTTTCCGTCTTCACAATCAAATCATACGCCGCATTAAAATCTGTCGTCGTGATCAGCGCGGCGTACGGCCTCAAGTCCGCCCGTAGCTTCTTGACGAACTCATTCAAACGATCCTCCGGAGTGGAGACCAGACTCGTCGCATACTGGGACAGGTAGTCGAACTTCTGTCTCAGTTCAGGCAGTGACATCCCCTCCTGCTTAAGCGCAACAAACTCATCGCGCCTCTCCTCGCGGTACCGGGTGGGGACGTACTCCTTCGTGAAGGCTCGATCAAAGCGATCCCAGGTCCATGGCTTGGGCGTGTGTGGATCCTGGTCAACGCGCTTCCACCAATCATATGCTCCCTTCCGGAACATCTGTGATGCCCACTCCGAGCGATCAGCATCTGGGACTCTCAAATTCTTGAGTACCCGGTCCATCTGCTCAAGCCAATCCAAGGCAATCTGGGGCTCCCCCATCTTGTCTCCTCGAAATTCTTCCGCTCCATTATCCTTCAACGTCTTGAAGGTAACGATGCGCGGCTGCGGCTGTGGTGGTGGCTGGAACATGGGCATAAGCTGCGCCATGTGCTGCATATAATGGGCCATCATGGCCGGGAACATCTGCTCGTAGGCCACCGGCGGTATCGCCAACGGTGGCATCACTGGAGGTGGTACGACTGGCGGTGGTACAGCTGGTGGCTGTCCCGCCGGCTCAGGTTGATTCTGCTGTTGCCCTCCGTCACCCGGAGGCGTGAAACTCGAACCTTCGGTGTTCACCGTGTGCACGCTCACGTGCTCCGGCTCCGGAACGTACTGACCGTGGGTCGATTCTTGACTCATTCTAAAATAATAAGGGAAATTCCCACGTCAGATCTTAACATATAACAGATAAAGCTATAAATACTTATTACCTTCCCGGGGCAGAGGAGTTACGTGAGATGCAGATGCGGCTGAATTATTCATTGTATTTTATTTTGAAAGGGTCCAAAGACCGATTTTAAAACCAAATGCTCCGATACCAAAATGTAACACCCCAACCCGCGTAACCCAAACCCGTGAGATAGCGGACCAGTGTGCCACTGGATTGGTATCCGAATTTACAACATTTTCAAAACAATTTTAAACAAACGTTCTATCAATACATATAAAAATCCATCGGAATGATTTAAAATAATGCGGAAGCCTTTTTAAAAGTAAACAACTTGGGATCTTGCCCGAAAACGTAATAAGCATTAAAGTTAATTAAATAAAGCATAATCAACAGATTAAAGAGATAGCCACGCCATCGTACATCTCCTCCTCAATGCCCTCTGGGATCGGCTCTTGGTTCATCTGTCTGATCACCTACGGACAGCAAAAAGAAAACAACGCTATCCGCTCAGCATTGACGCTGAGTGGTACTCCATTGTAGCACAAGAATAAACATAATAATTCAACAATTGAGATTATGCATATGTCTATCCTTTTGATAAAAATCAATTCAACTTTAAATTCGGTTCTTTAGACGGTTGACCAACAGTCAACTTATTTTCTTTCTTTTCGAAACGATTTAGGTGTTACGGGTTTCTCATTAACTCTTTGACCGCCGGTCAAACCAATTTAGACTTTCACCAAAGTCAAACCACTTAACATTAAATGCCTATGACGGAGATAGCCTCAATCCGTAATACCGAAGATAGCCTCAATTCGGTGGAGGTAGGATCCCTCGGGCGATAGCCTCAAACCCAAGATCACAGACCCTCGTGCGCACGTCTTAACCTCACTGACCAGGCCCTGCTGCCGCCCGAGCAATGGCCAGTTTCTATGTTCGACATAATAAACCAATTGACCTTAATCACCGATTAGAATTAATTAATTAACTTAACTAATTCATTAAAGTTTTGGATTTACCCATTCGGTCAAACCTACGCCGACAGAATATCCAGTCAAATCTTAAGTCAAACGTGACCTAACCCAAGTCAAAGTCAAACCTGTTCAGTCAATTCACAATCCTCAACAACGCAATTCACATAATCAATTTAATTCAATTAACCAATTTAGCCAAATTATAGCATAAACACATATAACGATCCAAACCATTAAATCTATTCTAAATGCTATTAACTTCATAGTACGGACCTGGATTTCGCCGAAATCGAATCGATAGCTCGAACGGAAGACAAATCGACGAAATCAAACGAACGGGTCAAATTGAGTCAAAATGCGAAATCGACCGATCAATCCGGCGTGGAGGTTAATCTGCCGGCGATATCAACTCGGGGCAGCGGCCGGATNCAATTAACCAATTTAGCCAAATTATAGCATAAACACATATAACGATCCAAACCATTAAATCTATTCTAAATGCTATTAACTTCATAGTACGGACCTGGATTTCGCCGAAATCGAATCGATAGCTCGAACGGAAGACAAATCGACGAAATCAAACGAACGGGTCAAATTGAGTCAAAATGCGAAATCGACCGATCAATCCGGCGTGGAGGTTAATCTGCCGGCGATATCAACTCGGGGCAGCGGCCGGATGCGGCGACGGTGACGGACGCCGGTGACAGTGGCGGAGCGGCAACTCGACGGCGATGAGCAGCGACTGGCGGCGCTGCAATCGACGGCGGCGGACGACCGACGAAGGCGAAACAGCGGCGTTGCACTCGACGGCGAGGATGGCCGCTGTGCTAAGGGCGACAGCGGCGCTCGATTCCGGCGAGGGCGAAACAGCGGCGTTTGGCGACGTCCGGCGTTTGGCGTGGCGGTGCTACAATCGTCGGCGAGAACGACGCCGGTAATGGAGGCGATGACCGCGGTCGGCGGCTACTGGCGAAGGAAGCAGCGGCGGCGCTGGAGGCTTGGCGACGCTGGGTAGCAACTGGCGGCGGCGAGAAGGCTCTGGCTTGCGCGACGCCGGCGTGGTCGAACGGCAGGGATGACCGGCGGCTGGCTCACGGCAGCGATGATGGCGGAGGTCGATCGGCGAAGAAGAAGAAGAAGAAGAAGAAGAAGAAGAAGAAGAAAGAAGAAGAAAGAAGAAGAAGAACGGGAGAAGAAGAAGAAGAGGGACGAACGAAGGATAAGGTTTGTGTGGTTTAGGTTTATTTAATGGTCCCATTCCAAAAAGGATTGGGCTCCGGACCCAAAATACCTGATTAAATGGTCATAACATGAGCTCCATAACTCCGATTCGCGAGCCGTCTGAACCGACGCGATCACAAAAATATTTCCTACGAGATGACACAAAAGTTGGGCTTAGAATCCAAATTATAGTTTTAACCCCTTTTTAGGCCCAATTCGTAATCAATTGCTCTAACAATTTAATTAATTCTTTTGGGCCAGATTTCAGGGCGTTACATATCCTTAGTCGAATATTATGACAATACGAACATCATAATATATCAAGACTATTACGTATGAGATGAGATAGCTGCATCTCATAGGCTATAGATAAAGTGTTATCTGAATCTATATGTAGGCAAACATATTGGACATATTGCTGGATTGACCCACTATGAGAATAATATATGGGTTTGAGTTAAAGTGTTAATATTATTCTAATGCGACCATTAGTATAACTATCCTTTGACTTTAAGTCATTACATTCATTGGTAAGTTGAGTTGTATACTTTGAGGCATGATTTATGCTATCTGAAATATTGGTGGATGTACAGTTATGTTTTGGGTATGCAATGAAACTTAAGCGAAGATGTGAATGACGTAGATAGAATTTATCCCTTCTTTAATGAAGAATAATATCTTAGGGCCCACTGATTGATGTGACTTAGGAAGTGCATGACCATGCCCAAATAAATATGTTATTTAAATCCCACAAGTCAATCGAAGAATCAGTAAACTATAGAAACTCTAACAAGGTGACACACCCCATACCTTGTGTTAAACTAAGATATTAGCGATAAAGGGATAAGGGTTATACAAATAGGATGTGTCGTTGAATGAATTGTTCCAAGAGCTTTAATCTATAATTTTGGGCTGATAATGTGTTGCTAGATACCGCTTATCACTTGTAGTATTTAATCGATACTATGACCTATTTTATAGATGCCTAGAATAGGGTCACACACATAGAACATATGAAAGTGTAGAATATGTAAGTGGAGTAAAGTTGCACTTTATTTATATATCGTGTATATGTATATATAATAAGTGTTATATTATTTATTTTGTGTTAATTATATGATAATTAAAGTTGACAAAATAAATTAGAAGCTTCCTTAAAGTGCCATTCGAAATTTCCTATGTAGAATAGGAATGGGATTTGATTTCCTTCCTAAACTTTAAAAGGTACATACCTATTAGGAATAGGAATAGGGATTATGCTCCTTATAAATAGGAGATCATCCCAAACCTTTTGATTACTTAGATTTTGGGCCCTAACAATAATTTAAGAGAGAACAATTTGTTTTGTTCTCTTAATACTTTACACAGAATATTTTATATTTTAGAAATATTCTAGAGAAAAATTACTAGCATACTTTTTTCTAGAACCTTCTTCGTTGTTCATGTGTCTCAACTAGAGGTCATATACTTTAATGGCTAGCTCTTGGATCAATCAATCAACCTACACATATCGTTGCTTGCTCGCCAAGAAAGGTATATTTCTCAACAATAACTTATAATAATCATAAGAGGTCCTGGGTGGTTCTACAATTGGACAATAAACTTTTTTATAATTCTGCTGCACTATCCAAGCGTAGAACCCAACAGTGGTATCGGAGCCGACTTATGAGATTATAAGTTTTGTAGATCTAATTGCCGTTAGGGTTTTTGATAATTGATAAAATAAAATATATGTGTATATATTTTTTAAAATTATCCAAAATTCAAGAAAGTGCCAAAATATGATTTTTGAATTAAATTTTGGATTTATTTTTTTTTCAGGTTAATCGGTTAAAACCTGTTTTAACCAATTAAAATATTTCCAAAATTCGAAAATTGAATTTTATTAAATCTGAGACTTTCACATATGATTTAACGACCTATGTATATTCAAACTTAAATTTCGGAATTGATTTCCTAATTTATAAAGTATTTTTTGATTTGTAGTTAATTTGATTAATTACAAGATAAATACAAAATAAATTATGAAAAATAAGTTTAATACTTCTGGAATGTTAAAATATGATTTTAAGTACTCTGGAAAATTAAAATAAATTTTCAGTTTTGATTTTCTATTATTCCCGATTTAAATAATCTTATTCAGTATTAATATTTATTAAATCGAAAAGAACAATTACAATTCGGGGTTATACTTTTATGAACTTGAAAATATGATTTTCAGACTTCATAAAATGTTTGAGAATTAAATTCTTAATTTAAGTATTTAATTATTAATTTTTGGGAAAAACAGTTTTGGTAATCCAGTATTTAATTCCCGAAAAGTATATAATTACTTTTAAATTATGGAAATTTAATATTTGGTAATAGTATCATAATATCCTGAGAATAATTATTTTTGGAACAATTATGGTACACGAAAATAATTTTAAAAATTGTTTTATGGATTACCAAATAATAAATAGATTGTACCGAAAATAAATTTAAGTAAAATCTGGAAAATTTTGTTTTCAGATTTTACATGAGTCAAGAACTTTATTTTTGGAAAATATTGATTTTTGGAATATTTGTAATATTCTAAATTAATTTTGGAAATTAATTTAAATCCTTTTGGAAACAAATTCCAAAATACCGAAAATAAAATTTATTAAATTCAAGGATATGAGTCACAAAATACATAGATAACGTTTGCAAATTATCGTTACTAATCGTAGGTTTTCATCCTTCAACGTTTCACTCTTTGGCAATTACTCAAGGGGTCGTTGTCTTAGGAAATAGTCATTTTGACTTTTCGTCTTGGATTTGAACGTGTTTCAGGACAGCGAATCTAACTGTTTAAGAGTCTCAATACGTCATATCGTCAGTAGACTATAGTATTAGCGAGTACGTTCTCGTCTACAGGTAATTTGAATCCATTTTACTGTACGTATTTTGGCTGGTGATAATTAGTGTTCCATCAATGGTCTGGTTTTAGAGACTATATATATCACGATTATGGAAAGAGTATCTCACATTCTCAAAATATGGAAGGAACTTCTCGAACACTTCCTTACACCATAAGATTCGTTGGTCTTCTTGGCAGTCACTCTCTTGGTAGAAATCCAAAGTTTATGGCTATTGCAGTAGATTTAGGAAGAGAATTGATCAGGCGAAGAATTAGTCTTGCTTATGGAGGAGGCAACGTTGGCCTACAAGGAGCTGTTGCTTCAACAGTCTTTACCAATGGTGGCCTCGTTAGAGGTTTCATTCCTGGGTACATAGCAACACGACGGGTCTACGGACCTACATATGGCGTAGAGCACACAGTTTCCAGCAATTACTACAAATATTTTGAGATGAATCATGCTGTGGAAGCTTTCATCGTTCTTCCCGGAGGAGTTGACACTATGGAAGGTTTGTTCACCTTGATCTCGTGGGCTTCTGAAGGGTTACACAATAGACCCATTGGTCTCTTGAACATTGACGGTTATTTCAATAACCTAATCAAATTTCTAGACGATGCAGTGAGGCAGAACTTAATGTCTTTGAGTGAGAGGAAACTTTTCATTTCTTCTTTCTTTGTTGGTGAGCTTTTAGACAAATTAGAGTTTGCTAAAGCTTTCCCGGGACCTGGGGTTAGTTACGATGAGTTTGTGAATCCTGGAAGACTAGACATGGAATTGCATTTATAACTTTCTTCACGTAATCCATGTTGTATTTTGTGTTTAAATAATATTATCCATAAACATCAATGGTTAGTCATATGCGAGCTACATTTTCTTCGTTCTTCAATCTTTCACTGTTGGCGTCACTTATTCACGTCAAACGAGTCAATCGATTTGTCTAGTCAGCATCACTATGTTTCACTTAGTCAATTCAGATTACATCGACCTTTTTTGACGATAAACAACTAAATCAGTAGTCGCTTTATAGCAAGGTATCAGTTCATTCAACATGTTCGAGATGTCTATAGCTTTTAACAAACAGGTTCTTCGAACAAATCATCTATACGCAGTAAGGGTAGCGATTCTCGATCGTCAGTTTGTCCATCATTCTTAACAGAGATGTGATAGTATCTTGACCGTAAGTCAATCTTAGAGAATACATTGGATCCTCTAAGCTGATCAAATATGTCATGATACGAAGTAAAGGATAACGAATTGTTCAACTGACAGTAGTTGATATAGAGTCTCATTGATTCTTCCTTATTCACGTTTGAACAGAACAGATACTCTCCGTTAGAGAAAACACTTTGTCCGATGATTCCTTGTCAGGCAATCTTCATAGTTGAGTTTTTAGTTTCGATGGTAACATATTCAATACAGAGTTACGAATATTGGTCCTCTCGAGGATCAAGATTGACAGAGTTTTGAACGGTGAAATATAAGGAAGTTAATATCAGAGAGGTGACATACTTTCGGTATGTTCCTTCAGTTCAGATTATTCTTTTTGGGTATCGCACGAATAGACTTCACGCTTGAGATGTTTTCGCATATATATATTCGAGATGAACTTGGTTGGTTTAGAAATCAGCTTTGCTTTCACCTCTATAAGGTTACCATCATTGGTCTTTAGTTGAGGAATTCTTCATCATAAATTGACAACAGCAACGACGTTCAGTCCGTTAATGCATACTAAGGATAATGTCGATTTCCTTGTATGGTACTTCAACGATGTTTTACAAAGAATTGTCGCTTAATGAACGAGTTTGATTCACATTAAGTAATCGCATAATGTGTCCTAATGAGTCAAACAATAATATCGGATACTTTAGATAACAGATTTTATTGATTCTAAACGTTCGTGTTTAAATCAGCGATTAGATAGTCTTGATTCCACATGAGGATCTTTGACATTAGCTTCACAGATGTTTCTCAACATTTATCGTTTCTTCATAGTCGTCTCACTTTCGTACAATTTTGCGATGCAGATCAGTTTCGTCATTTGCGATGCGAAATGTACGTTGATAACGTATCAAGAGATTATAAACATATCGTTTATTCTTTCGTCTCTTCACCGAGTACAAAAGTTCAACTAGAGTCTATGCTCGATACAGTTTCAGTACTAATCAATTGTTATTTAATGAGAATTTTAACAAAGTCAATATTTATCTGATAAATTCTTATACCTTTCCTGGAGCAGAGGGATGCGAGAGTCGTGGATGTGATTGACACATTTTTTTAATTCAAATTTTGATCCGAAGATCGGTTTTAAAACCATTTGCTCCGATACCAAATTGTAACACCCTAATCCGTCCAGGTCTGCAGCCCCTTTCAGACTAAAGTATTAACTTGGTAATCGTAAAATTTAAAACTTTTCAAACACTTTTATTTATCACAATAATATTTTTCGTAACATATACAGTGCGGAGTTTTCAATATTGCGGAAGCTTAACAAATCATAATTACAAACATAATTTGTTTATGTTCTTTAATTCAAAACCATCACATCCATTCCGACAATCTCGCCTCCGTCTGCCTCCAGAATCACGTCAC